TAAACCCGTGATGTGATGAATCAATGAATTTGAATATATGAAAATCATAAATTTGTACTGCGGTTATAAGAAATGTATGGAGGTGATCCTCGCAGTGATGAACACTACTTGTGCAGTAGTGAAGGTAAGGCCTGAAAAAATTCAGGCCCATACGGGATATGCGACAGGAGGAAGGAGTACTAATTAGATATGAAGAGGTACAGAGTTTTCTCACTATTTTCTCACCATTTTTCACTGCATTACCGCAGTAGGGTAGGACTAGAACGGAACATATGCGATCCGTGCGAGTAGCCCATCCATTAAATCCCACCCATCCCATCCCAGGGGAGGACATCCATCACACACTAATCTCGTGCGTGAGAAATTATACGCTTTTCAGGGTTGTCACCCTTTTTCACAAACAGTTTTTTAGGACTCCAAAGACTCAGGCGATCAAACTAATCCTTCTACTCTGAGGAGTAATCAAATTTCTTCTTACAATGTTAGATGAAGGGTGATGACGATAAAGGAAAACAGACATGTCAAATATACATGTAGGTTGAACATGAATGCCAAATTCCAGGTTTTCATCACTTTCAAGGATCATAAGTCCTTTTTCTGAAACTATCCCGTTGTGTAAAATTCGCATGAAGTTCGATGACTTTCCAGTTTTCCTGGATCCCCTCAAAGCCTTGTTTCATGCACAAGATCGTTAACTGGTCTTAACTTTTTAGTGGATAAGTCATTCGCATCAATTTTCCGATTGAAACATGGAAAGAAATAAGTTACCTTTTTGCTCTTTGCCTGTGACGCAGTATCCACCGACTCGTTTGCCCAAAGTTGCTTTGGACTCTTTCAAATTTATGTCCACTCCTATGTAGATACCCTCCTTGCTTTTCACCAGAAGTGAGTGTAACCCAAAAACCCTAACCTTTGCGGAGCCATTGATTAGAATCGGTGTCTGGAACTCGAATTTGGAAACATTGTATTCAGTATGAGAGTTTCGTAAGTACCGTGTTTCGATTTCGCCATAGTACGAATATGCCATGGAACCGTTCATTGCTGCCAATTTGTGCATCCACCTGGCGTTTGTGGTGTCAATTTCCAAGTATCCCTCCTGAATGTATTGTACTTGATAGGTGGCTTTCGTGGAAACTAAAACAAAAAAATAAATATAGTTGAATTCCTTTCCCCTTTCACTCCCACAAAGGTAGAAAATTGAACAAGCGACGCTATGGCGAGCGGAATTGCCTTAAAGCTAATTTCAACTTTGGTAACGAAGCTGTTGTCTTAAATGAAACTCAAGATGTCATTTTTAAGGTGTTGCGTCATATTCATAACACAACAGCGTTGTCAATGGTGAGTGCGCATCCAAATCCTCGGGCGGGGCATCCTGTTGGGATACATGATCTCAACATGAAGCATAGACTGCATTACTCCCTCCGTTATCTGTCTTGCCAGACAGGCACCAGGGAGTGTTGCATTCTGGGTTCATGATAATTAGCCTAACAAAATTCTTGTGGTATACAGTTTTTCATGAAACAAATTTTATTTTTGATTTTCGAATGAAATTCAAATGCAGAAATGATCCTTGGAGGTGAACTGCAATTTAAGTAGTTATAGAAAAGGGTACGAACAAATCTGACACACTGCTTACGTAGCTCAGTTAGTAGCGCCTAACGAGTATCACGGGTTCGAATCACGTCAAAGCCTGAATTTTATCAGGCCTCTTATCGGAAATTGCTTAAATTCCAGTTCACCTGCGATGATCATTTATTTACTGACTTTTGAGTTCTACTCACCAAGGATGTTAACAAGACCAAATGTCTTGCCAGTTATGTCAAATTTAGATTCGCACAGGCCATCCACATCAGCATCACTCCTTAGCTGAACCACACCGCCACCTGCACCAGAGCCGCGAGCTGTCAGCAGGGCACCTCTCCTCAGAAGGATCTGGAGATAAAAGAGGATTTTGCATGACAAATTGCATTTTCCCTCCGTAAAACGTACTGATCCAGACGCATTCTACAAATATCAATACGCATTCTACGTATTGAAAAATTTTCTTTCGAGCGTTTTTCGATTGAGCGTCGTAAAACCAGTTCTGAAGTAATTATAATGGCTAAACAAAAGAACGGAAAATACCTTCTTCGGCCAAAGGGAACTCAAAATAAAAACCTACATGCGGAAAAACGCGGGCGACCAAGTCGTGCTAAGTGTTAGTTTTACACCTGACTAGTGGACAAAGTGGCGCAGGTTTTTCTGGACCAATCACAGACGGAAGTAAAGGAGGGCCAAGGCAATCCCGGATTGCTTGCGACACTCAATTGAAACCTGCTGTTATGATTGATCATCGAACCTTTTTGGCGTGTAAACGAATAGTCCCACCCATGGCACCAGCTTAATCAGCGTTATTAGAGAAACCATTCGCAGAGATGGTTGCATCTGCAGAGACAAAAAGTAAAATTTTTCACTCATTCTTCAATATTTTAAGGTTAAGTAGTTRT